GCAATCTACCTGCTAAAAATAAGTACATATATATTCACTATCTTCTTGTCCATGATGTTTAAGGAGTTACAGGATCATATTCCCTACTTTTAGGCATGAAAATAAAACATAAATATCAATCTCACAGTATACAGAAACAAACTACTGTTGGCCTTAATTTTTAGACAAACTAAATATGATCACATACAACCTATTTAAGTACAACACAAATGAAATATTATGGTATGGCACAGGATCTGCTCAAACATCTCAGCTAAGCAGAGCTGGAAAACATGCCTCAGTAGCAATATCAGCTTAGGCATTTCTCCTCCTCCTCACCATTAATGGGCCAGTCCATCCATTTGCAGAAAAAAGGGCCATCACTTAGGTTTCAAAATAATTAAAGAGAATATTGTTTGCATGGGTGGATTTTGGTTCTTTTGGGGGTTTTTCTGGTGCTTTGTCTTTTCCTTTCTTTCGTACCTGGATCACCTGTGGATCAATTCACCCCACACAGTGCTGCTAAAAGCTTTGCTTAAGCTTTCTGTGGCAATGCCCCAGGGAGAAATGGTCAGGCAGCAGGGAACCCAGCTCCTCCTGCAAGGAAAGGACACCTGATGATGACACGTAGTCATCCTCTCCTGGCTCTAGAGGAAGTGTATTTTGAACTACATTAAACACTAACAACGCTTCCTACCTCCAGGACAGATATCAAAGGTGGATGGATCACAGAAAGATTTGGACTGGAAAGGACTTTAAGGACTATGTAATCCCATCCCTGCCACCACTGGCTAGGACACCTTCACTAGATCAGATTGCTCCACCTGGATGTACTCTTTCATTTACAGCATTCATTTTAAGTATCAATTAGTGTAAAACTTAATTCATGTTAAATTACATGCTTTTAAATTCAGGCATAAAAATAAAAACTCCTTGTTTATTAGCTCAATTTCCTAAATACACACTAAATACCTCCATCTCAGGAATTTAAGAAACTAACTTTACTTTTAAAAATTTGAGTTTTAGTGAAGTTAATTCAATGCCAGCTTTTACCTCCTAGCATTTCAGAAGTTGTGGATATTTCCTTAAAAGAAAAGAAGTTCTAAATCAGTTGTATATTTCCATCCAGTACTTTCAACTTACTCAGAGATACAGCATTCTATCAGAGCTGCAGCAGAGGTTTCTATTTCAAGTCACATTTAATTTTTTTTTAGATTCTGAATTCAGATGCTTAGCAGGGAAACAATGTAAGTAAATCCTTTACTCTGATGGTAATCATGTATTCATTTAACATATGTCTTTATTTTACTGATAGTAAACCTTACAAGAAGAGTTTGATGCAACTTCAAAATAAATATATTTTTTACGACTTATATGATTCAAATAGTACTTATTTATTCTGGACACTACAGTCAAATTGCTTTTGCAAAACTAAGCAGATGAAATTACTAGCAATTTCAATCACAAGACAAAATACACCACTGCCCAAAACACACACACAAAAAAATAATGAGGAAACATGAGGGCTTCTCTGCCTTACTAGTCAGGTGGTAGTTACAGAAGAGAGCAGACAAAGTAGAACAGTCAGTAAAGAACAGGTTAAAAAAAGATTATTTTCTAGAGAAAAAATACCTCTCAAGTGAAGAAAACCTATTCCCTACCACTTGCTTTGTCTATTGTTCAAGGAAATTGTACTTCAGGGAATATGCTTAAAATGAATAACAAAGGAAAGCCACCTATCATCGAAGAAGAACATTCAACACATTTGTGAATTCCGCTTAACTTCTAGCTTCCTTGTAGTAATCAGAACCTACAACCAGAAATGAAATAAGCAGGAAGTGAGATGACAAAAAGGAAGCCACATGATGAAGGAACATACTGACAACTAATAACACACTGCCAACTGCCTTAGAGGTTAAGCAGGGTGGAATAAAAATTTCTGTTAAGAACAGACTTCAAAGCCTTCATCAGATTTGTCAAAAGCAGTATCTCAAGAAAGTGAGCAGAAGTATCAGCCAAGTTTCCTTAAAGCTCATTCTAAATGCACATACTTAGTGAACACCCAACAGTAAGACCCAGGCAGCAAGTCTCAGGCATGACCTGAGACACCAAACAGCATCCACGGTACCCAACACTGTTCACAACCATAAAGCACCAAGCTTTTCTGAGTAACTCAGGCCACTGCCTGATAAGGGTTCTTACATTAGAGACAAAACTTCTGGCTCACCGAAGTCACTACAAAAATTCTGACTGTAGGCAAATTTTGCAGGAGGTCTGGAAAGAGCTTTCTACACGGAGAGGTAAGTCTCCACCCTGACAAGTTCATTACTAATGCAAATTTCTTCTGAATTACACACCCTATCAACACATTCAGTAAATTGTCAGCAGAAAGTTTTAGACTGGCTTCTCGGAAAGCCTGAGGGTAGGGTGGGGATTCACAAAGCAGGTACCTGCTATGTAAGGTAGGTCCTACTCACAGCAAAAAAATATAGCTAAAAGTATTACTGTATAATGCATAGAAGACTCAACGATTTTGGGTGCTGAAATAATTGCAATAAGCATTGCAATTCCCTCACAGCTAGAGAGAGCTTGTTAAGAACCAACAGGGAAGACCAAACCTAGTCAATCATCAGTCACCACACCATGAAGGCATCTGACATTATTCTAGAACTCTATGAAAAAAAAAATTAGCAGTATACAGAGCAGTTTTGTTCTGTTGAAAATGGGGAAAATTTAAATATAAAGGGAAGTAAGATTTAGCCTGCTCTTTGTGCTACACAGTATGTGCTTGATAATGCTACATTAACACATAGAGACAAAAAGCTTATGGTTCACTGCTTACCAGTACTAAATTGCAGTGCTTATGGTGTAATTGCTTTGGTCACTACTTGAGCAGCATATAGCTCCTACAGCAAAAATACACAGAACTGGTGCTTTACGTTTGCATTTCTGTTGGAAAATGGTTCCTCAAACTCCAGTTTTCAAATACAACACACTCTGCAAACAGCTACAGTACATTTAATAAAGCACAATTCACCAGTATGACCATTAAAAAGCAATGAAATAAAATCCTTCCCGGACACATCAGCTATTTAGTACTATTGCGTCCCATTGGTTAAATTCACAAGTACAATCAGCATCTAGTGAGCAGCACTAAATCAATGCCATCAAGCACATTCTATCAATGAATTTATGCATGCTAACAACAATCCTCACTAGTTTACATGAGTCAAAAATCAATTTTAACCCAAATCAAAGTATCTCTTATGTGAAGAGGTACACTGCAATCCTGAGATATAGCAGATACGTTGACAGAAAGCATTTGTAAAACTCTGAGAAGAAAATTCTTTCATAGCTCTTGCATCTCTTGCTAGACTTGCCAAATTTTAGCCTGAATACAATCCTATTCACCTAGACACACGACTGAATTGCTGCTGTAGTTATTAAATCCTACAAACGCACACAGCATACCAAGAGTTCTCCACCCACCTTCAAGTTCAATAAAGCAATCCTGAGTATAAACATTTGTAAAAAGTCAGTATAAACCTACATACACACATCCTTTCATTTACTAAAAGATCTGTTTACAGCCTCTTCAAGATACCACTAGTAGGTAAACTGTAGAGTAATCACAGCATGTAAAAACATGCAGCCATTCCATGAAGTAACAGCCAAAGAGCAAACTGGTTTTTATCTGTTAAATATATATATATATATACACACATATGGTCATGATCAAGAAGAGAAGAAAAATCCACAATTTCTCTCCTCCTCATAGTTTGCACAGAAAACCTCAGGTCCTCGGACAGCAGCTAGCGGGCAACATAAATCTGAAATTCAAGGTGCACAGTGGTACTTATTTCTTTCCACTCTTGAAGCACCAGATGACAAGCCTTCCATTCCTCTTGCTTTCAGAAAATAAACAGCAGGTAGTAGGTAACTCAAACCCTTCTTACCAAGCTTGACTGCACCAAGTAATATAGAAATATACAAAAGGAATGTCAGAAAGACAAGGAACACTTCTGGATTTATTCTTTGTTAATAAGTATGGCCATCTTAACTGTTTCCACTAAACTCAAAGTTCACCCTCAAACAAGCTGGTGCATTCTTACTTATGTCATACCACCCAAAGGTACTACAGGTGATCAAGCTGAAAGTGGAAATGAGCATCAATTTTTAATAAGTGTTTGAGCATCACAGACAATGCACCAAAAAAAAGCACTTCAGACTACACCAGCAAAAAATTCAGTTTCATTTTGAGATTATTAATAGCATAACAGTTGTGGTTAGACATAAACAAAGAAAATGTCACTTTAAACTAACTTCCTCTAGTGATTGTATGTATGCAAGGGCTCTTCAGAGTTCTCAAAGGTTACAGTCAACTTTTTATTTCCAAAACCTAAACACTGAGCCAAGCTTAACCTCACAAGTGAGGATAAAATAGAAACAATTCTTTAATGAACTTCTATCCTAAGAGCCATCCGTTCTCAGTTAATCAGCTACGGAGGAGTTGACAAACTCGAGCTCATACAGCTCATTATAGTTTTTGGTTGGTTTTTTTTTCCCCCTCGCCACTCCGGGCCACAACCTCCGACATCCCCAGGCCGGGCGATCGCTGAGGGCACCGCAGCCCGCCCGAGCGGGGCCCGGCGCGCCCGCCCCGAGCGCCCCCGCCGCGCTCCGCTGAGGGCGGGAGAAACTTCAGCCGCTGCGGCCGCGGAGCCTCTTCCCAGCCCGCTCCGCCGGGCTGCCCGGGGCCAGGGCGGAGGGGACGCGCCCCTGCCCTGCCGCTCTCCTCCCTCGTTCCCCGCAGGGACTCGAACGCCGGGGGCCCCGAGGAAACCGCGTCGGGCCCCGGCAGAAGCAGCGGGGTCAGCCTAGACATCCGAGCGGCGAGAGAGGCCGTAGCGCCCAGCGAGGTCACAGCCCGCGGAGCGCTACAAGGGCGGCCGGCGGGGAACGAGGGGGTCGCGGATTGAAGCGTCCCACCGCGGCGAAGGACCGAGGCCGCAGCGACCCACCGAGAGCGGATCTGTTGCCCAGCCCGTCAGCCATCAGGCCCAGCGATGGCGCAGTCGGCGGGATCCCGCCGGTCGCTGCCGGAGCCATTCCCGACGCCTCGCCCGCGCTGCGCGCGTTGGCAGCGGGGCCGCTGCCGCCCAGCCCGGCCCGGCCCGGCCCAGCCCCGCCCCGGCCCGGCCCGCGCAGCGCCCGCCCTGCCGCAGCTGCTGTGGGGAAGCGCCGAGCCGGGCTGCCCGTGCCCAGCCGTAGTGGGGGGCGAAGGCGTTTGTTGTACGCTCCTGTGAGGTTTACCCAAAGGCGCCCCGCACCTAAGTTTAGTATTACAGCTCCCAGCCGTGGTTTCCTGAGCCCGGCAACCGCAACGCTGGGGTGCAGCGAGGGGGCGAGATGGGCGCGGGGCATCGTGTCCTAAAGGGCCCGAGGTGACTCGTTTGCACGGCACTGGTCTTGTGCCACAATGGTTCTCGAGTGCCTCATGGAATTGCCCACGGGGGAGCCTCTCAGCCGGGCGGGTTTGGGTGTGTCGCTTTATGGGTTTCTGCTGTGGCCAGGAGACGCTTCTGTGCTTCAGGGGCCGTGCTGGCTGTGGGGCTGTGTCAGGAGCAGTCCGCACCAGCACGGAGCCTGTTCCCAGAGCTGCATGGAGATCCTTACTGTAAGGGCAGGGCAGTGCCCCTGCCCCCGGAGCCACAGGGCCTTGTGCAGGGTGTTGCCACCACGGCAGCGTTATGACCAGTACATGCAAGCATTCAGAAACTAAATGTGGCCTGGATTCACAGTCCCGTAGCATGTGGGGGCACTCACTCTGTTACCTCTTCCCATGCACGAGGCCTGAAATTCATGCTTTATTCCTTTAATCTTCACTGCTAAACTTGAGCTTAGTGTTATACTCTGGTAAACTAACTCCCATGATTAGAGCTTGGTCCACTCTGTATTTCAGCATCCACAGCTGGACTTTTCTACTGACATGGCATGAAACTAAAGACTTATTATTGTACCACATGAGAGGCAACTGTAGTTTCCCAGTACTTCCAAATAGAATACTCAAAATTATTCTAACCTAAATAATTTACTTACTTGCTATTACTGATTTTGAATACCTAAGGTAAACTCCACTCATTTAAGATACAATATTGTAATAATTATAAGGACTGATTTTTGAATGGGTTTTTTTTTTTAATCTGGTACCAATATTGTGTGCAGAAATACCTTTATCAGCCCCTAACTTTACCCATCAAAATACCAGACTGTCAGCTTTCTGTTTGGGACAATCACGCCAGTTGATATCTCCTCCCCTCACTACCTCCCAGTCTCATTTTCTAGTAAAAAAAACAAGTAGAAAATTATGTTCTCAAAAAATAGTACAACAGTACATTTCTGCAATAGACAAAAAAGAAGTGCTCTGGAGATAACAAAAGTTTTAACCCTTTTCCTCTGTGCTTGACTGTCAGCTCTATTCATGGTACTAACTGTAGCCGCTATTTTTATGCAATTTTTTTTTTTCGGGGATGCAAGTATTAAAAGATTAGGGTGATTCAGTATCTGAGATGTTTATAGTTGGAAATACCTCTTCTCAGTCGAGTAGGTAACCAAGAACATGAAAACTAACATGTTTTCTTACTATTGGTGGGAGACTTATCTGTTTATTAACCAAGCTAATGAGGAACTAGCAGAGCTGTCCTTTTCAACACAATAGGCAGTCAAGCAGCAGGACACAGGGATCTTTTAAAAATTATTTCACAGGACACTTTTAAAAACAATTATTTCTTCCTCTTGGGTTTTCTACAGAAAGTACTGCTGCTTACCTCAGCTGCCTCTCTTCTGCCTCATATTTTTATTTACTCTCTTTTTGAGGGTGTGGTTCTCTGTCAGCTGTTCTCAATGTCACAGAAGTGACGGACTTGGAGAGAGATACAATCTTCCTTTTCTTCTGGGTAAAGTGCAGCACTGCAGATCCCAGCTCAAAGGAAATGGAAAAATGCAGCAGGATTACTGAACCATGTCTGCCTACATGAAACAAGCTCTCCAGAGGTAAGTTTTAACTCAATCTCCCTCTGACTTCAGAAAGACTGTGCTTTTTTATCCTTTTAAGATTAGAGAACTAATCTGGGTTTACAAGCAGGGAATTGGCACAATTTCTGAGGCAGTAGCTTCCTGCCCTTCTTCATCCACGGAAACAAACACCCCTGGGCATGGGGAAACTATCAAATTAGCTTTGCCAGTAGAAGATCTGTGAAACCACCCATCAGCTTTTATGAAAAATAATAAATCTCACTCAAAATGTTACTAAGTTTCCTTAACAATCTCAAAACTAATTTTTAATGAGGTTAATTGGTCCAATCTATGTCAGCTATTTCTAGAATGTATCTTCAGTTTGTTCCTATTACTAGAAAATGGAATCATTTGGGAAACATGCAAGCAGTTTTTCTATTGCAAAGTAGTCAAGAAATTTTGTTTAAATAGTATTTGGCTCTATCCACTACTAATTCTTGAAACTTCATCTCCAGACTGAATTCCAGTGTTGACTTTCTTTATTGGAAGACCTTTCCAGGATTTCATTTTGATTGGTAATAATGCCTGAACAAACCAGACAACTAATGGTCCTCATTTGTAAAAGTTACAGAAAGAACATTGGCAGAGGTAAGTAGAAGACAGGAACCATTGCTTGCACATCTTAAGTAGTGTCTTAAACATCAAAACAAAGAAAGTGATACTGGAAATCTCATGTCACCAAGCCCTTTTATGTGACTTAATGAGATACTTATACTGAACTAGCTGGATGCTAATTTCACAATTAATTATATATAGATGTAATTACATATTGAAATTCATCTATTTCAAGTATGCACAAATACCTCAGTGTAAAACTAATCAATGCTAGTGCTAGTAAAACATGGATAATTGAAATTCCCTTTGAAAATCAAATTATACATATTCCCACATAACTTAATTGCTTTTATTACCAGAATCACGGTTAAGACTGTCTATATTTTCTAAGTATCCTTTCTACAAGCATTCTTTGTATGTATTTGTATATATTGAAGGCAAAAATACTTCCAAAATGTTTTAAAGCTGCATCCAAATGCCAATAGTATTTAAAACATTTATATACATCAAAGAAGCACTCCTTGGGAGTGGTTACTTTACACCTTGTATATTTGTTTTTGGAAAATTATGTGTTCAAATTAAAAATTCCTAGATCCAGGCAATATAACTCACCTTGGTGTTCCATGTTTGGCTGTGTGTGCCTAGTAGAATGAAACCCCAACACTTGGAAACACTTGGTATTTCTGACTCAAAATAGCTATATTATCAAGCCATTAGTGAAGGAAAAGTGGTAAGGAACACTCCCATCAAAATATATAAAAGCTAGATTCCTAATTAGTTCTTTCCACTTTTCCCAGCAAGCAGCTGTTCCTGATGATGAAAGTAAAAGCATTGCTGAAAGGTATTGCTAATGGGCAACCTGGTCTAGTGTAAGGTTTATGTTCCCTGCCCATGGCAGGGGGGTTGGAACTATTAAGGTCCCTTCCAGCCCAAGCCATTCTGTGATTCTATGATTCTTAAATGGAAATATAAATCCCTAAACCTAACAAAGCTGTAAAGAAGATACAGTTCTTCATTAAGATTCTGAACTTTATACTCAAAAAATTGCCGAGTTTTACAATATTTCAGCCTTCAGGCTGAAAAAATATCAGTAGAGGAACTAAGCTATAAGGGTAGTATATTTCTAGAAGAAATCTCTCTCTCCTGCTTACTCTCTTTATCTCCCAGTATTTTTCATGACACTTCTAATGCAGTAATCAGTTTTGTTACAAGACTTTGTAAGCAGAAATTCAGTTTCAGTTTTAGCTGTACATGTGTAAGGTCAGGGGTCAGGTGGCTGGTATGTTTCAGGGAAATAGTTTAATCACTACATTTTTGATTTGGGAAGGACTGTCTTCCCTTTGTTTGCAATGAGTTTCACTGATGAGGAGAAAACCTGTTTCTCTGGTCCAGGGAGAATAAAAAAAAAGGACTTGGTTCTATTTGCCAGAGAAGAAGAGAGTAAGGTTATTGATGCTGTCCCAAGGACAGAGCCAATACCATACAATCATTTGCATGTGGATCGAAATAAACTATTGGAAACCAGAACTGGAGCCTAGCACACCCCTCCAGGATGCCAGCCCTTAACGTTATAGCAGTTGTGGTAGGGTATAAAGAGGGAAGTGGGGCAATTAGCTGTAATTCTTAAACCGTAAACCATGTTTAACCATGCTTAGCTTAAACTGTGTTGTGGTTGCCATTACATCTCCTGAGACGCCAGTTCCTGATGGTATTCAATGGATGTATCCCCAGGAATGCCTGGTAGACAGAGCTTTCCTCAGGGGACTGAAGAAGAATGTTGATATTCTGGATGCTAACCAGGTTTAGGCATGCTAGGCCATTAACCTGGTGCTAGGCTTCAAACCAAACATGTCTTCAGTGCCTTGGGAGCCGTTATGCTATGGCTCTTAGGAGGCTCAGGTGCTTCCTAAATTAATCAGCAGCTCTGGGCTTTAGTGGAATATAAGGAGTTGCATGTTATTAGATCAGTTCTTTGGAGCACAGAGGAGAGAGAGGATCTTGAGCAGCTTCTGAGTTTGACAGGAGGATCACAAGAAAACAACAAGTCCATCCTAGGCTGAAAGGAGTTGTGAAAGAAGATTAGTGGTTTTGTGGAGAACCATTTTATGAATACACAGTGTACACATTGGCTTGCTTGGGGTGGGGTAGAGGCAGAAACTGAAGTAACACAAAGTAGATGGAGTCCCTACAGATGACAGCTTTTTCCTGGGATTTATGCTGGCACATTTGTTAAGGAATTCATCACACAATAGTTAGCAAGTAAAAATTAGCATGTAAATACTATATGAATATTTTATATTGTGATGCTAAGTACATTTAAAGTGAAGCAAAAGTCTATAATACTGAAATCAAAACCTACTGGTTCCTATTCCCCATTCATACATTATTATGTATTAATCTGATGGAGTTTGAATTTTTCATAGCTGGACACTCACTGAGGAATTCAATGATAGTAGTGGGGTTGGAAAACTGAAGAAAGCTCAGTAGTATTTTGTGCAGTGACAAAGCATGAAGGGGTTGGCTTCATTAGTTGCCTCATTACAAAGAGTACATTCTGCATGCCTAAAGCACTAAGTGTACAGACAAAAGGAAATCAGGAAGTATTTTATTAATATTTTGATTCAACTCTAAGAATTTTGGCAACATTCATAAAATGGAAGTAAGAAAGTAACTGGGGAAGATTGCTTTTGTATTTCAGCTAAGAGGGAAGCAGGAGGCATGCATGGAGACGTGTGGAAACCTGGAACCATTTCTTGGTTCTTCAGTGACTTTGTGTGGCTGTGTAAAGCAGGGCAGAAAGTAATTCTCATTGGAGTCACTCCCCATCTGCCCAGGGCAGAATGGCAGTGTGTGTTGCATTACAGATGTTTTCCACTTCCCAGAGCCAGTAAAAAGATCAGTACAAATTAAAAATCTTGGATATTTTAATTAACCAAATTGATTTGTTGTTTTGTTTTATCTAGCCAATTTGAAGGTATTTATTTTCCTCCTCTTCTCTATCCCAGTTCCTAGTAAGGAAAACAGAAAAATTGAAAGTTTACTTTCATGTTAAATTATTTTAATGCTCAAAACTTCAGATAAAATTTGAAGTAAATCTCCTTCGCTTCTGAAATTTGAACACCAATAGCAAACTGTCTATGTTGCAAGAAGATAGTAAATGTATTTGAAAAGGAGACTAACAAAGTATTTTGTAAAATATAAATATTAATTAAGTTTCCATGTAGTAATTCTGGAGTGACTCTATCCAAATGCAACAAGGAGATTTGATCTTTGCTAAAAATGGACTGCTTGGCAGCCTTTTTGTCCTTTTTTATAGATCAAACCTTATAAAGAAGTATTTTGTCTCCAGCTGTCTCTAGCACCATATGAGAGATAGCATTTAAACCACTACAAGAAGTGATTAGTCATGGCAAATAGGCTTACCCTGGACTCTTTAAAAATTAGCTTTGTACTGCTTTTGCTCTCATGATTTCATGGAACTGTTTATCTGGGAGGGTTTTTTTAATGTATAAAATGCTAATGTTAAACCAATTGCATTTTGATTATTTTTCTATACTGGGTCTGACATAAAAGTGAAAAAGGTAGCCAAAGAGCAGTAACTTGTGCAGGTTATGCCACATCCAGCTTTATTAAATAACCTGCTGAAGATTGTATTCATAACAAAGATCAGGCTAGGAGAATGCAATGACAGTAAACTAGCAAGGAGACATGACATAAATACATCTGTTTGGCCTTCCCATCTCAAGATTTATGGTCCTAGTCTGTCAGCAGCGTTTACACTTAGCTCTACCCTGGCTAGCCACTTTCTCAATCCTCAGTTCAGAAGCTGCTTTCTAGTTCTTCATCACTCATAAGTAATATTCTCCAGAAAATTTAGAATCTACTTCTAGGAAACTACTGAACTGGGAAAAAAAGAGGTCTCCAGGAGACCTCTAGCAGAGGACTTAAGTGCTTCAGTTATTAGGCTGGAGGCTTACTTTCTCATAACAAGCCTTGCTTTAATTTGAGCATGCTGGCTGTGCAGGTGGAATAGCACATTCCTTGAAAATAATACCGAGGCTGAAACAATTACAGTAAAATAAATACTGCAGTAACAGTTCCTCATTCATTTGCAGAGAATGAAGGTCAGGAAAGTTGAGGCTGAAACTATTACAGTAAAATAAAACACTACTGCAGTAACAGTTCCTCATTCATTTGCAGAGAATGAAGGTCAGGAAACTGATCTATTAACCTGATATGATTAAACTTCTCACGTTGGTTGACCGAACTCTTACCTACAAAGTTTAATCTCCTTAAGCAAGAATACATAATATAGGTAAAAGCCCAGAGCCAAGTATGTAATCACTAAATTACAATTTAAAGTCTTATAAGGACAGCCTTTATTTTCTCCAGTATTTCAGAAGCACACTCTGCTTTAGGCAAATGTGACTCACCAAGTTTGCATGCAAGGAGTTTGGTTTAAAACTCAGTGAAGAACAGATCTATCGAGATAAACCTCAAATCTTGTTGGACCTGTTTATTTCCACTGCTTTTGATATGAAACTCTCTAGATAAGAAGCCACTGAAAAGCTGTAGAGAGAGGGAAAAGATTGAATTTGAATTCCAGTTTACTGTTTTCACAACAGTGTTTCTATTTTTATGTATAATCCCTGGTAGGTCAGGTCACCAATTGTTTAGAGACAGAGAATACTTAAAAGCAGTTGTACACAAATAAATGTAGAAAAATATAAAAGCTTTAGTTCAGTAAGATATAAAGTGGACATGGCTCTATGGATGCTTATTAAATGTAACATGCTAAGTACTTATTTGGGGATTTCCTAAAATAATGTGAGTATTGGGTATTTCTGCTGCTTCTTACCTTGCCTTCTCTGAGCCTAATGGTAAGTAATCTTCATACCAAGGCAGCACCTTGCAATAGCTCTTCTTCTCTGAAAGAAAATAGTTTATTGACAAGAACTGAAATAATGATTTCACTATCTGAAATTGTGCTGACTGCTCATGCACATTGGATAAACTACCTGAGAATGTGGATCTGAAGCACAGTTGATTCAGGAGTTGATTCCGTTTTGAAGCCTGGGAGGGAATCAAGGGATAGAGTGGAGCAGAAGAGGCAGGTGGATGAAAGTTTAGGGAAAAGTCAATGGAAGGAGAAGCTTCAAATCTGGTCAGGAAATAATATCCCCTGATGGTGAGAACTTACAAGACTTGGACAGATTTTTCTTTTTCATTTAATGACAAAGATGAGATCTGAAGTATGATTAAATCAGAGTCATTTTTGCTTTAACAGTTCATTAACAGTTGGTGTTTGTGACAGCTTTAAAAAGGTAAAATATATAATTTTGAGAAGTCCCAGTTTTCCAAGGAATGTATTATCTATAGATTAATCTTCTACTTCGTTAACTTTAAATTGATTACAGTTTTCACTGAGGATAAAAAGTCTATAATCAGGAAACAAGTAGTGCCAAAGGCCAGCAGGAATGATGAGAGTCACTCTGGGGAGAAGGATAAGGCTCCGCAAGCAAAATGGACTCTGGCACTGAGGTTTTTTTGAAGCGGATCTTCTGGCAATAAGAAAATATCCTGGTGTTTCTCACTGAACATCTCTCACAAATCTGGTTCTGCCCTAGTTAAATTAATACTATTTTAGAGATTGCCTGTCTCTAGTGCCATACTATCAAAAACTGCAATAGTTAGCTTTGATAGAAACTGCACTTAAACAGTCATTTTGTTACCAGAAGGCAGTGTGCTTTTTTTTAAAAAAAGAAACAAGCAGGTTGTGTGTTCCTGAGCAATAGGAGATAAAGGAGCTGCTGATTTTCCATGTTTTGGGTGGAGCATATGGTCTGGTTAATTGTCCTGGTTACTCTGCTGTATCACCTACTCTTGCTGTAGGGTTTAAGACAAATATCTTTTACAGGATTTTAATAGGTGTGTATGATAATTAATATTGAAGTCATCTTGTAGATGAACAGATTTTTTTTGTTAGGATGTTCCCATACATTTCAAATCTTAGCAAGTTAGGATTTCTTGCCTAGGATGATGGAAGGGGAGGGCAAAATATATTATTTCAGATATTCCCAAACTGTATATTCAATGCAGTCAAACTTGTTGCAGTACGATACCAGAATAAACATTCTGCAGGAGGTGGGAACAGGCTCCCATGTTTGCAGAGGGAGGAGACAGGTTTTAATCAAAAAGCCCAGTGTTAGCCTTCTTTTCAGATGTTCACAAGTCGATTGATTTTGTTTTGGAACTAAAAGGACATAAATCCATACATCCTGCTTTACTAAACAGAGTCTTAATCAAAGGGTTGTGAAGGATGAGCATTTCTGCTGTTTCTCAACTGTGGATTCTGTCCTGCTCTGTACAACCAGACAAATCTTTAGAGCAGCAGAAACTATAGTTATCAGTACCTTGTGTCCTAATCACAAGGATATCTTTTTTTTTTGCTGCTACCACAATGATTATTTGAAATTTTTTAATATTTCAAACAGTGTCTAAGTCTCAAAACATTACGTAGCTTGATGATTTAATACACTGCCAGAATATATAGTTTCAGTATTCTGGGAGAACGTAGCAAATGCTGGACAACTGGGAAAGAAGGTAAGAAACTCCTTTGTAGTTTGTTATTCATTTTTCCTTACTAATAGTTTCAAATAAAATATTTAATTTTATGCTAAGTTAAATGTCTTCTATAAAGTGTTTTTGCTTTATATTTTCAGGAAAAAACCCTATATATATAAACAAATCAGTTTCTTCCTGCCAGAGCATTTTCTGATGGAAATGGGGGCAGGAATGAAAATGTGCAAACAGAATTGCATTATAACCAGCTTAGGTTTGCAAAGCATTATCTCAGCATAATGCAAATAGTATTAATACATTAAGATGAGGACAGCCTTATGAAGGATATTTTTTGTATGAATCACTATGTACACCAAACACTAACCTGCAATAATTGTGACCTTAATAATCATTATTCCAGGAGCAGTGTGTAACCCAGGCTTCCTCAAGAGAGTCATTGCCTAAACTTATATTAGAACCTAGATTGAGATAATACATCTCTTTATATTATCTGTATGAAATATATATCTATCACATGGATAATGTATAATATAGAGAGATATTTTCAACTAGAATTATGTTAGGTAAAAAGATGATTCAATCTCTTCGCAGGGACTATATAGGGAGTATACTGTACAAGAGATTTTTTCCTAAGGATTCATTTGACCTTTATTGAGCCTCCTAAAGTAAACACCCTAAATTATTCCATAGCATCACTCCAGAGTGTTAAGTCAACAAAAGGCTTTGTATCTCCAAATATTTGCTTCTCGTATGATAGCACAGTACAAACAGGATTCCATAATCAGGAATTCCACCTGATGTTTATAAAATGTAACCTTGTCTCAGCTATTGAGGTCCTCTGATAAAGGTAAGGTCTTGCTGAATATTTTCACATTGCTTGAGTTCAAAATATTTTGACTTAAAAAAATGCAAAGGGTTTTTTTTCCAATGGTGTTTGTTCCTACACCACTCTAACAACATAGTGCAACGCAGATCAAAGAAGTGCTGCTGTATAAGGTCAGATCCTTCATTTAATCCTCTACTGCAAGAAACTCTGACAAGAGGATCTTCCTCCCCTTTAAAATACCCTTTTCCAAAACACAAATCCAACTCAAATAGTATTGAAAGCTCCACTGAGAGAAAAAAACATTACATACTAACAGTCTCTACAATTAGTGCAGGGACTTCATGCTGCTCCCCTCTCAGCTGTTCCTTCTGCCTTTCTGACAGAATGGTTGTCAGAAGGATGCAGGAGGAGGAGCAGCCCCTTGGACAGCCCAGAGTAACTGCTGTATCAGATGAGGAGATGTTAGTGGTTTGGCATTTGCCACAGACTCACATTTGTGGTTAAACACAGTGTAGCTTTTTACCCTGCCTTTCATGCAATTTATAATTGAAAAGCAGCAGAAGAATAAGCAGTAGTGTGAATAACAGTTTGCTCTTAGGAGACAAATTATATCAATAAATGTTACTGATCATGTGGGACCCACGATAGGGCTGAAAAAAACAGAGATGTGATGAGAATACACAGAATAGGAAGGGGAGCAAGAGCTGGTGAACTGGCACACTGTCACTGTCATCATTGCCAAAGCTGGTGTGAAAACAACACTACAGTGTGTTTGAGGGGACCCATGAGAACAGATGAGAACAAAACTTGGGAGTGATTGAGTGAAATTAGGGGGTTTCTAAAGCACAATATTCGGCTTCAGCAAAGGTGGGGACATGCTGATTGCACGCTTGTCTCTTCATTAAATCCCTAACTGGTTTTGCTTTGTGACTTTTGAAAGGGTCAGCCAAAGATTTGACTCTTTTAGAGGACACCTAACTGATCTACTTTCTAGTCACAAAGTCCACAGCTGCTTCTGGAGTTAGGCAGCACATAAATAAGGCTGGGTATCTAGATCAGTTCAGCTGAGCATTGCAGGGCAAGGAGATCTGGACCTTAAAATAGAAACACAGATCTATTTTAACAGCTGCAAAGGTTACCACCTCCAATATAGTCACTGTGGTTTAATCATTTTGGGAAACATTTGCATGTGATCCTTCCCTATCACACAGATTGCTGCTTACAAGTCTTTCCAAGTAAGAGATAGTAGTATTTTCAGGTTAATTTAGGATGATGGACATGGTGGGAAGAGGGATTACTTCTGCTCCTTTGTGCCTTGCTGAGTTATCCCTCCCCTTTTTTACAGATAAGTAAAGCTTATATTGCTGGTTGTTTCTGTCTTCTGAGGGCTGTAATATTTCTAGTGGATGCTTAACAATAAACCCACGTATAGTAAATCATTCTGTGGAGAGCTGCCCTACTGACATCTGGGATTTTGTGTCATTCAGTCCTCACTTTCTCCCAACCTCTTTTTCAATTTTCTGACTTTTGTAGGTTTATATCAGTCTGCCTGGTCAAATGTCTATAACTGGAACTGTTCCAAATATGGAATGCTATTATGTTCTCAGTATTTCTTTTCATTTCTTGATACTGGAACACTCTGGAAACAGGAATACTGAAGCGGGATAAGAAAGAGTGCAGATATTTTTCATTCACTGGCATTCGTTTTCAATTGTCTAAATCTAAAAACACGGAGAGGAAGCTTCTGCCCCAAATTACAGGAATACCACTACAGTAGTAATTACAGGAATACAGGATACACTACATTATCCAACAATTATTATCTGGCAGAAATGTGGGAAATTTTTTGCAAGGCGGGACCCGCGGACGCAGCTCCAGCTCAACTTAGAGCCGCGGGTGACCTCGGTGGCTGTTCCTGCTATGACCGCGAGAGGGCAGCCTGTGCCCATTAAATCATTGCTTCAACTTGGCCTTGGGGGGGTTTAATTATTGTGCTTCATTTTAATTGAAACTTTGTGGAGATTAAAAATGAGGCTGTTTAAAAAGCATACTGTAGTTCAATGTCCAAATTGTTTGAGGTAATTTTAAGACATACTGTACAAATTTCTCAATGTAGCCTTTCATTTAGTATGGTTTCAGTAGGATATGCTTATCTCCTCTGCCAAGAGTAAATAATTTGCATTTATAAGATGCTACATCTTTAAAGTTAGTTTCTTAATTGCAGATTTTTTTTATTTATTCAGGAAAAACGAGGTAGGGAATTTAGTGCTGCCGTCTTAGAGCATCTTTCTAATGGAAATGTGACTCTACCAACTTTCCAAATTTCAGATATTATTTCCTTCATCAATGGGACATCAGATTAATCTTTTGCATGTGAGCTCAGTTTTGCTGTCTGTAAAACAAAATTTCTACTTTAATGGTGTAAACTGTGGAGTGTAGCTATATATTATAAAAGCATACTGTGCCAGTTTTTTTAAAGCAACCGCCTTTCCCCTTTGATACTGCCATCGTGCCTCTCAGCCATGCATTGACAAGCCTGAGCATTCAATGGGAACTGCTGCAGGTTCAGCACTTTTGAGAAACAGCTTACTTAGAAATCTAAAGTTGGATTTAGAAGCTTAACATTTTTGGGAAACTTGCTGTGTTTTCATAACAAGTTATGAAAATCCTCATAACTTATTGTTGTTAAGGCAAGTATCTCTCCAGTGTATTTATGTTGCAAGCAGTTTCAATTTTTTTTTACTTGTACTCTGGATAACTAATCTTGGTTAAGGAAAGCTTTCTTTTACTCAGGGTGAGAGAACTGTCAGAATCCCTCTCAACCCCATTTCTGTAACAGACAGCACAGTGTTATTCAAGTCAAGTTGTAGGCCTGGTAATTCTGCTAGATATCCAGAAAGTCTCCTAGGGAGGGAAAAAAGTTTAATCACAACCAAACTGAATAATATATATGAAAATAATGCACCCTTCTCACTTCTTTCATAAAGGAATTGGGTCAAAATAAACTGTGCATATTACTCTTGAATTCCATGAAACCAGAACATCAAATGTTTCTTTTTTTTGTCACAGCATAATTTAAATCATTTGCACAAGGGGTGAGTTCAGGATCATGTGTTTATTAGTCAGACTAATTTTATTTTTCACTTTGGCTTGTATTTTTGGTCTTTACTAAAAAAGAAGACGTAAGAAAAGTGCAGCAGTCCAAAATATACTTGAAAAGAACTAACTCTGACTTTGTCCTATGTGTTGAACAAACATAAGTGAATTTATCGCTGAAACTGAATGCAGTCCAAAACAAGACAGAAAAGGCATGTTTTAGTAGTTCTGCTGCCACAGGATCTAAGATCTGCCTGACTAAGATCAGGACTGAGGACTCATCTGCCTGACTAATCCGCCTGACTGAGGTCAGGAGTCTATGCCAAACAGTGGAAATTATAAAAGTCTTTCAGTTGTGAACAAGAAACTTACAATAAACAATGGAGAAAAAAATTCAAAGAGGAAACATAAAATAATCTGACACATCCTTGGGTTAGCTGGTAGACAACAGCAGTGGAGAACAAATACTAAAATTCAAGCCATGAATACAATAACCACCATATCCTTCCTTTTCTTCCCCTGCTTCCCCCTCACCTCTCATCAGATTACAAGAGCAGTGCTTTATTTAAGACAACATCCTCTTCTGAATATGTGCTTTTTAAAATGTGCAATGTGCACCACAGTTTCCCAGTCAATCTGTGCTGTAGAATCAAAGCTTTTTTCTCTCCTGCCCCCTACTAGTATTTCAAGCTAGTGATGAAAGTGAAAACTAATAAAATACCTTTAAATTTTCAGACTGCTTAAAGTAGTGAAGTTAAGACAAGTATGTAGTCTAAGTTCTGAGAACCTAAAGCTAACTTTAACTTGTCATCAGTAATATTCTATAATCCTTAGTCCTTTTATTTCTGTAGGTGACACAAAAAGCAATTGTTATGTCCTGGCCGGCTGCAAATGGAGAATGATCATGCACTAAAAGCATACTGAAAATGGGGGAACTGGGCAGAAGAGTTTAAATGTAATATCTGTTCATACAACAAGAAAATATCACTGGTTGTGACATTCACTTTCTGTTAGCATTTCACAAATTTTCTCTACAGCTGTATCAATACTGCAGAAGTCAGCAATGAAAAATTTAGGTTCCTTGCCAGAACATACAACATCTCATGAAGTACAGAATGTACCAACATCTCAGATTCACAGAATGGTTGAGGCTGGAGAAGACCTCTAGAGGTCATTTGGTCAAAGTTCCCTGCTCAAGACCCACTTGCCCAAAACCATGTCCAGATGGCTTTTACATATTTCCAAGGATGAAGACTCCAAAACCTCTTTAAGCAAACTGTGTCAGTGCTCAGTCACTGTCACAGTGAAAAAGTATTTCCTAATGTTCACCTCAAACCTCCTCTGTTTCAGTTTGTGCCTCTTGTCCTGTCAGTGAGCACCACTGAAAAGAGCCTGGCTCTTTTTCTCCTTTGCATCCTCCCTTCAGGTATTTATATAAGTTGGTAAAATCCCTCTGTACAACGTATAGTTGCAGATAACATAAAATTCAAAACTTGACCGAAGATATGATGAGCACTATTAATACATTCATTCCTCTTCCTATCTGCAAGTTAAATAAAGCAATTTGGTGCTGTGGTGCTAAGGCTAAAGCCTAACAGAGCCAAGAGACAAATGCCATTTAGTTCTTACTTGGTGTAAAAAGCCACACTTTCACTTCAGGAAAGTGTAGCTCTCCTCTCAGAGAGGGATGCTTTAGGTACCCCACAAAGTACCCCACTCTGAAATTCTAGCATTAATGTGAGAAAAGCCACACTGAGCTGCAGCCACACTGAGCTCAAGTTATAACATTCAGTATTCATTGAAACGTTTCACTTCAGGAAAGTGTAGGTCTCCTCTCAGAGAGGGATGCTTTAGGTACCCCACAAAGTAACCCGCTCTGAAATTCTAGCATTAATGTGAATTTAGCAAGGATTCCACCGTTTTGAAGAAGATCCAAATTAAAATTAGACACAGTATTTTAAGTTCCAAAAAAGAGTATAAAGTTAGCAAACTAACTAAACTTGGTTTATTGAATGGATTCTTAAAGTTTTATTTTGTCAATTTCACCTGGGTTTGGTAACAAATGGGGGGGAAAAAAAGGAAAAACCCTTCATCTTTTATGTTTCAGTCTTAGCTGATTTTTAATATGTAGTCAACCATTTTTTCTCCTGCTCAGTATCTAGCGCGTCTCATGAAATACTGTTGGGTTTTGAATTCTTTCTTGGAAATTCGCTTTTTGAAAGAATCACTAGGAAGGATCTTATTGTTATGTAGTATTTTGAAATAATTTACACTGTATCATTTTCATGAAAATCTGTGTTCATCACAGCAGCTGCGGGCAGCAGTTGCCTATTCTTTCATTTTCGGCCTCCTCTGGTGTCATTAGATCATGAAGTTTTTAGGACTGTGGCACTTTGCAACTTGCATGGTTCTGGCCACTCTGCTCTGAGCTGTCCCAAAAGGTATTAAACAAGAACGTCAGAAGAGTTTTTCTGTGACACAGCTGAGCCTATACTGTAATGGATCCTGATAACCATTTTGATCCATCCTGAAGAAAACCTGCTTGATTTATAGCCAGCCTCAGGCATTCAAGGGAAAGAGGACATGTTCCATGAATCTGGCACCTCCTTCAGTTGAGCCAGTGGCAGTACTTTGTTATGGTGCTTTACAGTCAGTCTTGTAGTGGCTGTATCATTCTTCACATAAGCAAATCTTACTTTTTTCCTGTGATTACTTCTCTCCTGCCTTTGATCAGCATGAAGAAGTTCAGTGACATTTCCACAAGGCCAGCCCCTTCCTCATTTGCCCCATCCTCTAAACTTGGGGGAAAAGGGATGCTCCAATTACTCCAGCACTGTGGGAAAGCACCTGGCTCCCTTACAAGAGTTCAGATTCAGGACTTGGGACCCCTGGCACCTGCTCCTCCTCTATGGCACCTTCACAGTGACCTCTCATTTCTCAGCCATCCCTGGCAAATTAACCTGCTCCTCCTCTATGGCACCTTCACAGTGACCTCACATTTCTCAGCAGCCTCAGAACGCCTGCAACACAGCTCTGCATCTGCACCACTGTCAGGGATCTTCCCCTACCGTGGCTTGTGCTGCAGAGTTACACAGGGAAATCCCAGTCACTCCCTGCAGATGTGCATCACCTGGTCTAGCCCAGCTTCGGATAAAGGCTGATAAAATACAGGGAAAACTTCCAGAACACCTTGTCCTGAAGCTCCAGAGCACTCCGACTGCTCTTTCCCTTAGTACTTTGGGAAGTTGATGAAAGAAATCTTGTTAGGCAAGAAGGACGGTTCAATGCTCTCTGGACTGTATGTCCAAAAAAAAATGTAAGAAATCAACCAGGATAGAGGGGCTTATCATGGCATCTTCAGGGGATTTTAGTCAAAACACAAGCTTAGTTATAGGAACTGCTTAGACAGAGCAGCAGCTTGGCAGCTCAGACTTCTCTCAAAGCCTCCATGCTATAAGTGATAATAGTTATTCAATCAAAGCCATATTAACCTGTTCTTTAATTCCAGCAGAAGGAACACAATCCGTTTTCCGAGTGAAATTCAGTTACTTTGGGTTTTTTTCTAATTTTGCAGCTGAGGTAAGATTTGTGTTCAGCCAGAGAGGTGCAGAGGCCAAAGGAGCTGGGTTAAATGACCATTGTCAAAACAATAGAGAAAACAGATGGTTAGAAAAGTGGCCAAACAACATAATTTTTTTCTGATTTTCTTATTCTTTGGTTCCTCTGATGTTTCATCCTAACAGTTTTTCTGTAAGGCTATCATAATAATTATTTCACTGATCAGTAGTGAATATCAGAAGGATGTGCATTAACATTTTTGCAAGTGATGTAGCATTTCTCTTGTTCACATGCATTCTAGTAATGTACTAATCAACTTTAAAAGGTTTCAAAGTATCTGTACAAGTCATTATTTCTATGAAAATTTTAGAATCATACCATGTTTTGGGTCAGAATGGACCAGATCCAAAGAATGGACCATTCAAAGATCATCTACTTACAATCTTTATCCTAAATTAGAATGCTCCCGAGCTCATCCCTCATTTATCTTGACTATAAAAAAAGGAATTTCAGTCGCCTTAGTCCAATGCCCTCGGAATGTGACACTTCTAACCAAGCGTTACTTTCTTCCGTCAGCCATGCTGCGGAGGAGGCTGCTGTGTCCAGCGCTGATTTCCCGCTGTAATTGGGAGCGCTCCTCCTCCTTGGCTCGGCGCAGTGCGAGGGCCGGGGCCAGGGGCTCCCCCGGGCCGGCAGCCGCAGCCCCACCTGACAACATTCAGCGCCCCGGGAAAATAAATTATTAAACCCCGCTCTAAGCGAGGGCCCCGAGCCAGCCGCGGCGGGCAGGACGGAGGCGGGGCCGCCCTGTCCGGCCGTGCCCTCGGCCCTGGCCCCGGCCCTGACCCCGGCCCGGGCAGGCGGGCGGGGCGGAGGTGGGACNCGGGGCCGGCGGGATGGCAGCGGGGGGCTCCGCGGGGGACGGCGCGCTGCGCCGCGCGGCCGAGCAGTGGCTGCTCTGGGATAAGGTGAGGGCCGGCGGTGCCGCCAGGCGCAGGCTGGGCGGGGGGCCACGGGGGCGCAGGGTCAGGAGGGGCGGCTGGCGCCCGGCTGTTGCATTGTACCGGTTCGGGGTGCGGTAAAAGCACCTCTCTGCTCCTTCGGCTCTGCTTTCAGGGCTCTCTGACAGAGGGGCGCTCCCCCTCCACCCCTCCCTCCATCCCCTCCCGCCCCGCGGCGGGGCTGGCGCAGGTGGGGTTGCGGGGCCCCCCGGCTCCGGCACCTGCCGCTCAGAATCATCCCGGCCGCTCTGTCAGTCTGGCTTTCGGCTGTACTGAATGCCTTTTCCAAAAGGGCCTGTATTGTTCCGGACCGCTTCAGTCGCAGGGCAGTTGGTAGACTTAAATTATTAAAGAGTAGCATACATTGCCGTGTTACCTGCCTCTCAGTGTTGAAAACCTCCTGGTACCTTCAAATTCTTGTTTACTAAAATATTGATCCCAAAAGACATGGGGGTTCCTTTCAAAAACACTTGGAAATGCAGAAGCTGTCAGTCCTGCATTTTTCAGGTGTTATTTCCCTTTCTGTTCACACCTATCTTTGGTTTTGACAGCACTATAGAAGTAAAATCTTCTGTTTCAGTTTTCCACATACCTAAAGAAATATCTTGCCATAGTGGTGTTCTGGAAATGGTCATGTAGTTGCTTGCTGCTGCAGGTCCCACTGAGATGCAGGCATCTGTTGGCACGTTTGGTTTGCATTTTTTATGTCCCTTTAAATATAATTTGTTTATTTGGCTGTATTAGAACACACTGGCCATTGCCCCCGTTCAGTCACTAATTGACTCCCCTGAGCTGAGTACTCAACGATGCTCTCTGAGCTTTGTGCAGCACACATACCTGTTTGATGAGGCATCTTCTGCTTATTTCAAAAATATTGGTGGAAACATATAATAATTCTCTTTTTTAGTATTCTTTCCAGGTTCTAAAGGATGTCATTAGAAGTTCCTAATGACGAGCTTCTGTGATTCTTCATTTAAATCAGTAAACTGTTTAACCGACCAGTTACCCAGTTCTGGTTTTATTCGTGATAGAGCAGTGCCAAACTATTCCTCTTTTCAGAAATGCTAATGCATCACGTCAAATGAGGATTTTGTGCCTTTTTTTCCTAGTTTAATTAAATTTGAAAAAATAGTTTGGTTTTAGAGCCTCTTATTTACATAACTTCGCTGACCAGCATTAGTTATATTCCTGTCTTCTGTGTAATAATTTGCTTTTCAACTGGTTATTCTGATTATTTTGTTAAACCCTCTGGAAATATAATGCAGTGTCCCTTATAACATCTTTACTTTTGGAATTTTAGCCCTCTGTTAGCACTTACATCTTTGATTCAGTAATAATTGACTAGTGTGCAATACCCATTGCTGATTGCTCAAAAATGATGAGGTGTTTTAATTTCTCGGGGAGCTGTTGCGTGTTTCTATTGAGCAACAGAAGAACAGGTGTAACCCTTGTCCATTTACTCTGATATAAAAAAAAGTTCGTTTTTGACATGCAGAGATGGGTTAATATTTAATTATGATCAGTGCCATGTTTCTTACAAAATAGTCGTCTGCAAGAGCAAGCCCTTATGGCTGATGGCAGTCCTGCTGACCTAACTGGAAGTTTCTACCTACATGACAATTGCTGGGCTTGTTACCAGGTTGTTTTCATCACTCTTCATTACAGGAGTAACATATTTTTCATTCTTTCTATTATCAGTCATAGAATTGTGAATGGAAGGTAGCTTCTGGTTTTAGTAAAAATAAAATCTGTTTAGTCACAAGTTTTTCCTCTCCTGTAAAACCTTGTGGGGAGTCCTCTACTGAGGATAACTCTTTGGGCCTTCCTGTAGTGTAGATTAAAGTAAATAACTCGAGTGTTACCAGGTGATGTGCAAGCTAATTGCACTAGTGGTTATTATCTTGGTATTAAATCATCTGCCACTGTATTCACAGAAAATGGTACTCCTATATTCATATCTGGTTTAATTTGAGAGCAGAAAAAGCGTAACCTGAGAGAATCAATTAGAAAGGAAAAAGCCAGCATTTCATCCTTCTGATACAATTTGGGCCTTCTTTGGTAGAGACATTATGAAGAGTTTAAGCAGAAAAAAAAGCCAAAACCAAGATTAGTTTTTTACTTAGCTATGTACAATGGCATCATAATGTTCTCCACAAAAGAAAAAATAGGAAATTTCCTAGGAGAAAATAGCCGTAAACAATTATAACAGTAGTTCTGGAAAAATCCTTCTGCCTTGTTGAACAGACTTGGCCTGGCTTTTACCATTATTTGTGTGTGGGTGTGGGGTGGAGGCAGGCAGTGGGGAACTAAATTAATGCAACCAAGTTTTCTTTAGAAAATTATATGGACTGAAACTCTTAAGACTTGAGCAGCCAGCTGGACATGTACATTTAACCAGACTTAAAAAACTGGAGGATCCCTCTAGTTTCACAGTAGATACCAAACCTGGGAAGTTCCACTAACAACAAACAAAAAACTCCTTGGCTGTTAGAGCTGCAGGATGCTCCTGATGTCTTTCTGCATTGTCTGTCAAACACCTGTAGAAATGTGTGTGGTATCTACCTAAAAACATGCTCATTTCAGTACTAAGAGATGACTTGTGTGCACAAAGCTCACACAGAGAAATTAAAAGGTGATCAGGTAGTGTACAAAACTGGATGCAAGTGGTGTTATCTGGGCTTTACCTTTGAGACACAGGCCTGATGTTACAGCAAAAACTTGACGTCAACTTGTAAACAGCCTAAACTCAGTTATGCTGCCCTATATATTCTATAACAACATAGAATTATATTTATTCTTACAGAGTGTAATTACCCAATAATAATAGGTAATTGAGTCAAGCTGCCTGCAAGGAAGTGTCAGTTACAACATTCTTAGACTGGTAAATTGATAATTTTTGCACTGGAAATCAGTAATTCTGAGGTACCTAATTGTTTATTGTGCTCAAGAAGCTGGATTATTTTTTTTAATTCTTTATTTTATTCTTCATTATGCAGTTTGCTCATTAGCACTAAAGGCTCTTTAGCTTTTCCAGTATGTAATTAAACTATGTTGTTTGTCCCGTGGCAGTGGATGCACAGGTCAGTGGTTAGGACATCCTGACTCTGGTCTTCGTTTGATGTGCAAAATGTTCATACCTTTGTATGCAAACTTACTCACATGCCTATGCTCTGTGTCTTCGCAACATTTTCTGAAGCTGCAGAAGATACGTGGTTTTACATTTAATTTTTTTACCTTTTTTTTTTGCCTAGAATGATATGCTTTCCCTTGCTGTAAGCATGCCTAGGTCATCCAGGAAATAGTAAAGTCTGTGGCTCTTATGAGTTCATTTAATTGCCTAGAAATCAAAGTTTGTGTCCCTTTGGAAATGAGAATCTTTGTACTCCAGAGTAAAGTGTGTGTACTCATGCAGTGAGTAACCTGCTGCCTCTCAGATAATCTTGTTGTCAGGAATCTGCCACCTGCCGTCTGTCCTCTTGGCTCCTAAGTTCTCAAGAAATCAAATGCTGAACTTCACAAGTCTCATGTTATAACGTTAAGAAGTTGAGGCATGCAGGACTTTGCTAATTCCCTAAGTCTGGAAACAAAAAGAGTAATTAACAATAGAGAATCTGTGGAAACAACATATCAAGAAAAGCAGTGAAAGTTAGAAACCTCTCACTGTTCTCAAGGTCCGACACGGCCTTTTTGTTGCCACTCTCAAGTAATTTTATTTAAGAATTTGGCTGTAGTTTCTAGGCTTTCATCCTGGGGTTATGTTTATTTTTACAAGCATTACCTGCAGACATGTTGGAAATTATCTTCTTCCCAGTCTGCCTAGTTTTGCTGCTACCTCTGATGCTACCCAGTCTTGGGACAAGGTTATGATTTAATTTGTTTTAAACTCTACATATAGTGCTATATAAATAAAAAATATTTCTTTAATAATTAGCTTACCTTGCTTTCTTAAATGTTTAGTGTAGTTCTTGTGTTGTGATGAGGAAAAATTCTCTGAACTGTGAACGTGCTGCTTTTTGTTTGTTTTGTTTTTAAACATAGAAAACATTAAAATAGACATCTAGGAAGTCTTTTTAACATCCCAATTTGTGGGAGATACATATATACATACACACACTGCTGTCCAGGTGGCGTGTTCACTTAAGGAGATAAATCTAAAGTAAATAATACTTGAGGTTTTGCTGATCTAAAATTAAGACAGCATGAGTTCTGGTGTTCTTGAAGTTGTGTGCCATGTTTTGATACTGAAACCCAGAGATTGGGACAGAAAGTCACTTCTCTTGAAACGAACAAAACCTCATTTAGAACGTCTGAATTTTGTGTCAACAGAATCCAAAAACTTACGCAATCGTGAAACAATTGCTTGCGGAAGGAAATGCCGGAGAACTGCAGAAATACTTT